AAAATCAAAAAATTTGGAGGTCAATTACAAATAACTAGAACTTTAGGAACCAAAGCTACAATTTATGATTATTTTTCTGCCTTTTGCGGCTGCGACGAGATTGACCTAATTTCCCAATATAAATAGACTTGGATTTTTGTTTTAGAGCTGCAGACTCTAGAATAAAAGGTAGCGGCGATTTTTCACTTCATCCAATTTTCAGAGGAGCGTCTTCCAAGTCCACGGGCATCAATTGGTAATATTTTTCAATGAATTTTTCTTGTGATTTAGTTACTAAAATTGAAGGATATCGAAGGATTGATTTTCAATAATTTTGAGATCTGACTGTTGCTTTTATCTGAATTACTGCTTTTACTTGTTCTATTAAATGATTATTCTTGAATTCATGAATAGTTGGTAACATTCTTATTTCAGAACAGTTTACATCCTGTATGACATCAATTGTTTGTTGTTTTAGAAGGGACTAGTATAATTTAATTACTTGGTAAGTGATTTCATCATCTTATAAGAACAAGTAATTCGGTTATTATTTAAAACACATTTTGTTTCATTAGAACCATAATTGGGTCTTTTGTGATCAACGCGGTTGGTTCATAAATCTTAGGTGGTTCAAGGATTTGATTTTGACTTGATTGGGGTTAACGAAGATTTCTCAATCATTAAATTTAGTTAAAGGATTGAGTTCTTAGGAGGTTCCGACAATGATAGCTAATTTATTGATGATTCATTGCATATATCATTGCATCTATGGCTAATTGTTTGGAACAATTGTAACTAATACAGGCAGTGTGATTCAATCCTTGAAAATGACTCTAGGTAGAACAAGTCAGAGAAGAAGTTATTGTTTGCCAGCAAACTAAAGGATAATTTCTAGTTATGTCAAACTCGATTGATGAAATTGGGATTCGGGAAGAGGGGGAGGGGGGGAATAAGAAAAGAGTGAGAATTGGAAAATTTTTTGAAAAGTTTTAAACAAAAATACAGGAAATGATATATTTATTCGTTGAACTGCTTCATGCAAAAGGGTAATTTGGAAAGTATAAATATAATAAACATATTTTTTCTCTGGAGACGAAAAAATGTGATGCCAACATCGCTAGCCATATGTGAATAGTCTTTAGATCTGGACTTCACTAGTTGATCGATAGGTGTATCTATAAACAATGGGCTTATGGCTTGTCTATAAACTATGGGCTTATGACGATCACATGTACCTTGCCTTGTTTACATGTATTTCACAGCAAAATTATTGTCAATCACTAGAATATTAATCGCTAAAAGATTTCCAAATGCCTAATATCGTAAAATTAGGAATGTAACCATTTTTTGTACTTGTAGAACATTTTGCAAAATAGGATTACGACTGCAGTCTTGTTTATTTACAAAATTAACTTATTCATTTTTATATGTAATAAATAGTAATTTTGTGAAGGTTTATAAAATTGTCTACCTATGATTGGTCAACGAGGGGAGTAGTTATTTGAACATAGAGATACTATTCTTATAAAAAAACTAATTCTCGAGAGACTTTTTTTTTTGAGAATATTCTTGAGAGATTATTTATTATACGACATGGTTAGTGCCCTGACCAAGATGAGTTGTCTTCGAATATCCTTCAAAATTGATATGAAAATCTCCGGGCAAGGGTCGTGCATATGGAGAGGATAGCATTTGACCAAATCTCTTTGGATGAAATTAACCTATTTAATCAAGGAAAATGTTGCCAATTTTTATAATTATAAATCACAAACACTTTAAATTTACTACTAATTACTATAGAAAATTGATTTCCCTTGTAAACTTTTCATTTTATTTTTATTATTTGTGTTGCTATTGTGCTATAAATGGTCGTTGTGAGAATTCATGCTACCTCCATTACTGTTTCCACCAACATCAATGCCATCCTACTCGTGAAAGGTAATAACAAAAATCATTATTTATGCTTACCTTCTTCAAATAGATTAGAAACCAATGTGATAATTATTATCAGATACAATAAAAGTTTAATTCTCTTTATGTAATTTTTTAGGTACATAAGTTCGTATTTGTGCTGATATTGTTCACATGGTCCAGTGAGTTTTGTATCTACCTCCACCACTGTTTCCATCAGTCCTCGCTGCCACAAGAGGTAATAATTAATCGTTAATTTATATTATTCTACCTCTTTCACAGCGTTCTTTGGTTGTTTTTTCCATAGATATTGCTTTTTGTTTTTTTCATCATATGGACCTTTTTTGTTGACTTTTTAGAAAGACATTTTTCTTATTGCTCACTTTTATTTGACTATATGTGTGTATGTTTTCTCTTTTTCATTTTTTCCCTTAATAACTCCCCCCTTACAACCAAATCATGGTAATATATATTCTTTTGGATAAGAAGATAAACCATTAGAAAATGCTAGTAATTTTTGGATTGATATTTTAGTTTGTATTTTATCATGTGAGTGTTTATATAAGTGTTAAATATAAAATTTCAAATATGGTTTGTGATCTACGACAATAGATTATGTTTTATAATTATTACAATGCCACTGGCCTCACTGTTATGGCTTTTAATGGTGATTGTGATCTACGAAAAAAAGAAATAAAGGTTTTCTTTTTAAAATATGGTTTGTAATTGGCGCTTGAAATTTCATATAAGATAAAAACACAAAACCAATTTCAAAGCTACAAACAAAGCATGGCCACAATGACGTTATCTTCTGGGCACACTTTTGGTCAAATGTTATGGATTCTAATTTACATGGTTCAAAAATTCTTCTCCCAATTAACTATAAATATTGAATAGGATGAATTACATTTTACCCCCAGAGTTTTGGCCTGATTAACCATAAATTTTCTACATTTTGGTAATAGTACCACATAGCCTCTGGGCAAGATTGAACATTAAAATGACTAATTTGATGATGGTATACAATTTATTTTGGTTGGATTGTTTTTTTCTTTGTTTGAATGACCATTAAAAATAATAATCACTTAAATTTTGATTATAATATAAGTTAATAAATGAGATTTCATCTATGCTTATTAATATAAGTTAATTTATAGAAATTATTATATTTCAAAAGGCTCAGCATAAAAGGATTAGTATGGTATTCTTTAACTTAATTTATGGCATATTTTTAAAATGTTAATTTATAACTGAAAAGATGAATTGAAGGGTATGTTTGACTATTTACAAAGAATTAATGATAATGTTAGTATGTCAATTGAACATATTATGTTGACTACGAGTTAATGGGGTATTTAGCAATATTATCTGAACTCGGGAGGTTTATTGTAGATATAGCCAAAACCTGAAAGGTAAAATGTAGTTGGCCCTATTGAATATTGCATTTAAATAATGTCAACATCCTTTACATATGTGGAAAATTATGTTCACAATTTTATATTCAACAACTTTGTCAGTTCTTGAATTATTCATATTTCGTAGCAGAAGAATCTCAACAAACCTAAATATGTTTCATCTTATTAAGTGTTTTATCAACATACATTTACATCGGAAAGTTGTTCCTCCACTTCCTCATTAGACATGAACTGGAATTTTTTTCCTTTACATCTTTACGAGAGCATTGACAAAAATGGGAGTATCATTCACTCCAGTTTTTCAGGAGAGAGTATATTCCCATGTCCAGACGGCATGGTGTGGGAGTTAGACTCGATACCTCACTTAGAACAGAAAATAGTTTTATCACTATATTAACTCATTAATCCCACATAAATTATGTTTCTATAACAATTTCATATACAAAAATTGTTGTCCCAATACCCAGAGGATTCAAGATGAAGATGTTAAATCAAAGAGCTAGTGTTTGTGATTTTTTTGAAATAAATTTATATTTAATGAGTTTATTTGTAGTAAGGTGATTTTGTCACTATATTAACTCATTAATCCCACATAAATTATGTTTCTATAACAATTTCACATACAAAAATTGTTGTCCCAATACCCAGAGGATTCAAGATGAAGATGTTAAATCAAAGAGCTAGTTTTTGTGATTTTTTTGAAATAAATTTATATTTAATGAGTTTATTTGTAGTAAGGTGATTGAATCATGTGGGTTTTTGTCTTCGTAGTATAGTTTTTTCTTTTGGAAGTTATTGCATTATCATGTACATGGTAAGTTTTATGCATTGTCATTCTTTTTATAATTCCTTATTAATAAACTAGGGATGTTGCTGATTGTGTGTAGAAATGTTACAATATTCATCTTTGAGGTATTGCCTATTAGTGTATTGTGTCTTCCTACTCATATATCATTGATTTTCTCATTTGTTTTCTGCTTAAAAAAAGTGAACAAGAAGGGAAAAAAAGGAAAAAGAATATCCCATTACCATTTTATTTTCTAAATGACTCAGGCTTTGTTTGGAACGTGTCAAGTGTGTATTTTCCTATTAGAAATGTCAAAAAGTGTATTAGAAATATAAAAAGATAGGCTGTGATAGATAATAAATCATTTAAAAAATATGAAAAAAGTTCTAGTGAAGGTTCATAAAAAATGAAACAATAGCCTCATGACATGTAATTCGATCGTTATATTCGGTTTTTGTCAGCATTGAAATTATTTGTTGACTAAATTACAATTATTTCTCATTATAATTTTTTATTTTATTACTTATAATCTTTTACACGATGTTGGAAATGAGACCTTAGCCTGGTTTGGAATTGAGTATCTAAGTGAATCTTTTAGAGATTTAAGCATCTAATACTCGTCTAATATATTCATTTCGTTCCAAAAAAAACTGTCCACCTTGTAAACTGTGAATTGTATTAAAAATAATATAGTTTTCAATTTACAAACTATTTGCCTTATACAATATTTTGTGTCGTTATATTCTAATGAAAAATTTGATCTTTGTTTTTATATAAATGGAATGGAACAAAGCATCTTTCTATATTTTTTATTGATGGCGTATTTTAGCAATTATTACAAGCAATATTTATATGTACTTGGAAAATTAGGTCCTAACCGTGATTTTGATTATGAATTTAATCATAGGATGGTGAGGATAATATTCAGATGTAGAAGAGTTCCTAGGTTGAGGCTCAAACTTACTCCCAATCCGAGTAAGAGAATCATCACCAAGAATGAATTGCGCTTGATAAAATTGCATTCTAAGCTGATGAAGAGACAGCAGAAATGCATTCCAAAGATGAAGAAGTGGGAGAAATCCCACAAATTTGGGCCTTGGGCAAATCTACCTGAAGATCTCTGGCAGAAAATAATGGAACTGATGAGCACAGATGACCAATTTCGGTCAACTTCAGTTTGCAAGGATTGGCATTCAGCGATAACAAGAATCGCTCGCTCGCTGGAATTATCATACCGTGGCGGCGGTGCTCTATTTTGGGAGTTTTATTATCGGTGGGAAACGAGCGTCGGGAATCCAAAGTTAAGTTTGGTAAGTCAACTTAATGATCCAAGCTCCGGAGGATCATTTGATTTGGTAAAATCTAATTGGAATTGTAAGACAAAATTCGCCTTTGGTGCCAATCCCGTTGCTCAGAAAAATGGTTGGTTTCTCTTTGCCAAGAAGTTCCAGTGGAAGAGCTATTTCTTCCTGTATCATGTCTTTTCCAAGCGTACCATCTGGTTGCCCGCTCTGAAGTATTTTTTTGACATTGCAACGTTCTCTAGTAAAGCACTTCCTTTAGGCCCAGAGTGTCAGTCCGATTGTGTAATCTTTGCATCATACAGATCGGGATCTGGAATATACATTGCCACATATAAAATTGGAGATGAGAATTGGGAAATCATGTTGGTGGCTACTGCAAAAGCAGATGATTGTAAGATTTTGAGCGTGGTTTATGGTGAAGAGAAAAATGAGTTTTACTATGTTTTTTCGGGTGGTATTTTGGGAAAATTTGCACTTTCAGATCGTTCTTGGAGTTTGATATCCAGAGATAGCCATGGATTACAACAACGAAAGCATCATCACTTGTTTCAATACGAAGGGGAATTGATGCTAATGGTTAAGAATTATTTTTTCATGTTTCACATTTTTAGGTTTGATTGGTCTGTAATGAAATGGATTCTGGTGAGTGGCATCGACAGCAAGAAAGGTGCATCTTTTATGGATTTCAAAAGTTTCTTCTGCAAGAATAGAGGTAATGGGGAGTTTCTGTTCGTGAATCTTCATTATTTGAATGCTTCGAACGTATGTTGGATTGATCCTCCTTCTTTGGCAAACTGATTATTGGAAGGAAAGTTTCTTGAAAATTGGTGGATACTTTGTCTCTGTTTGTTATTGTTATTGATATTGAAGATATTAATTCTATTTCATTCGTGAAATGACATTGTCCAACAAATGAGTTTTGGTTTTATTCGTACTATTTTTTTGATATTGTGAAATTATGCCTTCTATTTAAGTTTGTTTGACAATGTAAAATTTTATTAGTATGGAGGTGAGATAGTGTTATACCCGTCTTGGCACAAATTAATTCTGCACTATTTCATATCATGCATGTTTCCCCATTTCCTTACTATTTACCTTTCTATCCAAATTTCTCTGTCCTAAAATGATTGTACAATTTGAATTTACATTTTTAGCAAAATTTTGTACTTAAAATGAAATCCCAAACTAGACATTTCAAGGGAAATTACAATTTTTAGGTTTTAAATTAGGATTTTTGAGTTGCTTTTTCGTCCCCTTTTTCCCCTCTTTGGGAAGATGTTTGTATCTACATGTATAGTTTCCCATATACAGTAAAGGTTGATGTGTGACCTTCAAATGTTGAGAATTGGGAAAAGAAAAATCAGGGATAAGAATCGGAAACTAAATTTGGTAACTAAATTTGATGATCCATGCCTTTGAAGTTCATACAATATGGAAAACCCTAATTGGGACTCTTCCAAGATGAATTTCGCCTTGGATGTGCACCTGTTGCACTGAAGAATGGATGGTTTCTATTCGCTAAGAAATTCTAGTGGAAGACATTTTTTTTTTCTTTTTTCACACCTTTTTTCAGTGTCACAAACTATCTTTCACATGTATCCAGTTTTAGCAACTCCTTTATTCTTAAATTCTTGTACACATAATCACTCCCGTGTAAATTGCCTACACCATTCATATTCTTAGAAATATTGCAACACTTTGATTCTCTACTTCTGTCACAACTTTCTTATGTCAAAGAAAATTGGACTTTTGATTTAAGGCTATGGTAAACCCTTGAAAAAAAAATTCACTCTCCTTTTCCCTCATCTTTTTCCCTTCATGAAAGAATGGAGTATAACTGCCTATCTATTTTCAATTAGGCTGTAGTTTTTTCATCTAACAAATACAAGGATTTACCAACCGAGGAGGGGGAGAGGGGTGGTTGCACCATACATTGTCTACTTATCAAGATTGACATTACAAGATCTTCGCTATTTTTTTTTCCTGATACCTTTGTCATTTAGCCCTGTTTCTTCCAGCCTAGATTGTGATTTTGTTTTCTTATTTTTTGGCATATTATGATTTATGGTCAGGGACCTACACTGCTACATGCATAATTAAAGATAAGAGTTAAAAAACCTTGTTAGTGGCCAATGCATGTGAACATGAATCGACATCTAAGTTTGGGTTATGATGTGGAGAATAATGAGTTTTACTATGTCTTTCAAGGCAAGATTTTTGTGAAATTTTGTAGTTTTAGATCGTTAATTCATGTAGCTCAATGTCAAAAGACGTCCATGTCTTATATTAATGAAGCATCATCACTTGCTTCAATACGAAGGGGAATCAATGCTTTGTGGTTAAGAATATGTTTTACAAGTTTCACATTTTTAGTTTTCTTTCATCTGGCATCAAATAGATTTTCATGAGTAGCGTCCATAACAAGAATGACACATCGTTGTTGGAATGCAAATGTTTTTCCTCTAAGAAAAGACTTAAGTTTTTGTCATAGTGGTTAGAGATCTTAATCGTATTTTATTGTTGAAATGATATTATCAGATAAATGAAATTTGATTTTAATTATTAAAACTATGGGGTGATAATTAAATATTTCTAAAAAAATTTAGGTGCTAAAATGTTACTACATTTTAGTATATTATACTAGTATACATTTTTTCTCTTAACTAGACACCAAGTGCTCAACAAAATTTTATTGATTTGCTTTTCAATTAGGCCAAACTTCAGTGACAAAATGTGAGTTTTGTCAATTTTGTGTTGTTGATGAGACACATTGTTATATATATATATATTAATAAGTAAAAAATAAATTAATCCTAAATATGTATTACGTAATGCATACTCTGTACCCAAACAGTTTTAAGCTTAGCAGTTGCAATAAATGTACGAAAATCTTCATTATTAAAACCGACTTAGATTTTTTAGATTCATGAAATCACCTATTAAAAAGATGTTTTAATATCTGGTATTACTAAAAGAAATTAATATTAATAATCAGAGTTGAATTACTAGCTTTAGAATTTATCAGTCAAAATTGTTGATGTAATTTACATTTTTTTTAAAAAAATATTGATATCCTAATTTTAATTTTAATATGCATAATCTAAATTAAGTATACTATCTTTTTTTGTTGAAACAATAATCATATTTAGATTAAAATAAAATTTAACCAAAGATTACATCTTACATCCTAAGGTTGATCTATCAGGGTTATACACTAACATTATAACAAATACATTAAAGGAGAGCTACACCACCGAAGCTAAATTTTACAAATAAGAACCATTAAACAGCTGGAATAGTTACTAGTTTGAGCATAGATCTACACTCCCTTCGCAGCTCTTCCATCCACGAGCTATAGAACTCCAGATCTGCAGCAAACCCCTCGAATTGTTGACTTCAGCACCTCTTCTTCTTCATCCGGATCTCCTCCTCCGGCAGATAATAGATCATCCATCTTTGTATCAGATCTGTTGGAAAGGCTTACCAAGCAACTAACCAAACTAGTAACCTTCCAAGATAATGACTCAAATACCCCAGAAAAGAAAGATATGATTCAATATATTTTGGAAGGACCAAAATTCCTTTCTAAAAAGAGAGCTAAAACTTTCACAAAAGAAAGATCTAAAAGTTCCACAAAGGGAAGACTAGCCAAGAAACAAAAACTAAGAAAATAAAACATGAATTTCTAATGAGTATCGAATCCACCAAAATAAAACCTATTTAAAACTGTAGTCACTGGTAAGCAGGGTCAATCACACAAGGACATGTGAAACTCTAATAACCCCAAATGATTCGACTAAAAAAATAAGATAAACATAGAAAATAGACGACTTGCGAAAGTGAGAGATTGACTTAGCTAGGTGTCATGGGGTTCCTACTCCACTATCCTCTCTCTAGTTTCTTATTCTGGTTGCTACTTTTGTGGTATGAAAGTGTGATCAATCAGACACAAACACACTGTAAGGTCAGTCACGATATTCCGAACAGAGTCCTAGCGGCAACAAGCCCACTAACTCTCATTATTGACTCCAGAATACTACCAAGCCGTTAAGTTCTTAAGCCCTTATGATTGTCTCGTGCCAAACATCTAACTCTCGTTTATGTTTGAAACCTTGGGCTATTACCCCCTCGTAACCGGCTAATACTAAACATTCTAAGTTAAGTTTATCCTTCCGGGTTTCCATTAACATACATGCGAAATTGACTAGTTGATCATTCCAATCAAAAGGTTAATTAAAACTCTAGTACTATGCACTCAAAAAGCATCCAAGTGCAGCCATTAATAATAACAAGAGAGCTTCAAAGGATTGAAATCCCATAAATAGCTAGCTACTCATGTCCTTGACTAGAACTGATTGATCAGCATAGTCAAAGACATGATTGCAAACAAGAAAAGACACAAAAGAAAGAAAATAGGGGAAGGAAGCGATTCTGCCACTATTGCTGAAAGTTGGCTACTTGGGCAAGTGACTTCGTCACTTCCCCGAGTAGCCATCCGTAGCTGCTACCTACTGTCTCTCTTGTTCTCTCTCTACTATGAACCTATCTATCGGTTTCTCTCTCTCTCTCTCTCTCTCTCTCTCTCTCCTCTCTCTCTCGTCTATCTCCTCTCTGATGTCCCTTGTTGCTGCTCTTCTTCCTTTTATAGAGGTTGGAGGACGTTGGGCTTGCTTAGTGAGGTTGATCTCCTCTTTGACCATTGGATTAACACTAAAGAGAGGAGACCTATACCTTTGACTCTGAATTTTCAGCCATCTAACCCCTCTTTTGCAGCCCAAAACCAGCCATTTCACATCCTCTCCATGCTTCCTTAACAATCAAGCATGGGAACCCTCACTCTTCCTTAGCCATAAAGGCTTTCTTCTCCCTTCTCCCTTAGCTTTCCAAACATCCAAGGTTGCCCGAATACATCGTCCATGGGCTGCTCCCCTAGGGTCCATCCTCTTCCTAGCTTCTTCTCGAATTCGCAGAGTCAGTCCAATTGGGCCATTTTCAATTGGGTGCCAAAACTTTGCCAATTTGCACTAATTTTCTCTTTTTTATCCACATCTGCAATTAAGTCCATTCATCACCAAAAGTCATAAAATCTAATTAGAAATATCTAATTCCTAACTAAGCACTATAATGTAATTACAAGTAAGAAAGAGACAAACTAAGCATGGTTGAGATGTATAATTTGACTCGCATTAATCTCCCCCATCTAGGGGTGTTCAAAATAACCAACACTGATTAACAGAACAATCGATTAATTGGTTATTAAGTCCCAATGAAACAATTTTTTACCAGTTAATCGGTTCGGTTTTCGGTTTTGCTTATGTCTTTCTCGGTTAAACCGAATAACCGATTATAGTAATTAAAATTTATGAATCTAGAAAAATTTTCTGGTTCTTATATTTCTATATCATTAATATTTTTTATTTTTTCAAATTATTTTACTAAAAATTTTTGTGGTAATAATATGTTTTTTGGTTGAATAGACTATTATAAGAAAGAAAGGTTTTAATTGTTTTATTGTAAATTGAGACTTTAAAAAAGAGTTTTATTATTTGATGGGCATAAAATATGTTATGAACTATATAAATTAGAATAAAAAAACAGGTAGAAACCAGTAATTAAACCGAAAACTGATAAACCAAAACTGTAAAATCTATTATTTAATTGGTTGGTTAATCGGTTTATCCAAAAATCACAAAATCAGAATTAACCGAAACTAATATATTTTATCAGATACATCCATCACTCTGCACATTTCCCAAACGACGGCTTCATATCATTATGCCTCCTTGATAATAGGCGAACTGTTAAATCGTGGGGGGATTTAATTTCCTTTATATGGATTGGAACAAATTAAACCCATTTACTTCACTCGTCTCTAAAATCCTTGTGCCCAAAGACTCTCCCAAAGCCATACTTTGTTATTGTCACCTGAATCCTCAATTCCAGTGACATTTCCGATGGCGAAGCTCAATCCAAGGGTTTGATGAGTCCCTTAATTGCGTTGCATAGTCACCGTTGCTGTCACATCATTTGTAAGACTCGTTGGAGATTATCACCACCCTGGGGGGTTACAACTCGAAAGGCGAATGGTCTTTCCAATAGTAAGTCTTTCCAACTCACTCTTACTTTCCGATTCCTTTAGAATTCCAGTTCTGATTTAGACCTGAAATATTGTGGTAGATATGGCTAGGAACCTAGATTTAAAAACTGTCGATGACTTTGCTTCCACCATAGATTCTAATGAGAAGGTAAACGGTGTAAAATCGAGATATGACCTGCCCCTAGATCTAGAAGCTAGAGCCCCATTAGGAACCGAGAGGGCTCATTCACCTTATGAGGGAAGAATCACTGTATATGACCGCTTTATGCATCTAGGGCTAAGATTACCCCTCTTCCCTCTGTTCGAGGAGATTGTCCAACACTATAAAACCCCCCTTGCTCGTTATACACCAAATTTGATAACCTTTGTCCTCGGGTTCGCGAAAATATGTCAACAAGTAAAGGTGAAGCCCCAACTAATTCTGTGGAGATACCTCTTCCAAGTTGTCGTTCGCTCGACATCATTCCAAGATCGGTACGTTGTCAAGAGGCACCTTAGACTTGGCGTCAAGAAGATGGTCGAGGCATACGGTGGCTCACCGGAATGGGAAGCCTGAATTCCTTTTTGTGAAGGCTTCGGAATCCGAGAAGTAGAGGGTCTCGGGGTGATAAAGGATGAGTTGACCAAGGAGGATGACGATAGGGTCGAGGAATTTGATGAGGATTTGAAGAAAATCCTGAAGTACTCCAAGCTTGTTAAATGGTGTAACGTGCAGTATTACATTCCTCCTGTTTCTGTCGAGAAAGAAAAAGATACGAATGTCCCTATCAAGGAGTGCAAAGATTCTATCATTCTTGTCGAGGAAGAAAAAGGTACTAGTCTCTTTTATTGCTTTTCCTGTTTTTAGGTCATGTCATCGAGCAATGTCGATGAAGACCCCTTTCCTATTGTAAATTCAGATAAAGAGGTCTCAGCCACTGCAGGTGCTATTCAAAAAAAGAAAAAGAAGAGGATTGTGAAAGGCCCCGAGAAGGAAAAAGAGCAAGAAAGCGAGGGCCGAGACACGTCTGACAGAGTGAACGGCACAACAAGAGAAAACTGTGCCCCAAACCATCGAGGAGACCCGCGTTCCACATGTGGAATCTCGGCCAAGTAGTGTCCCTCCCGTTGTAGACAAAGGCAAGAACCCTCTCGAGGGAGAGGCAGTCATACTGCCTCCTCATATGTTCGAGGGATGACCGACTGTAGCAGTCCATACGTTTGGCGACCCTCCAACTATCGAGTGCCCCATCCTGGAAGCATTTGCCGCTCAACTGAATGAGACCAATAGCGTGAGGCTGGTAAGTGTTTGAAAGTAGTTGGTGAATACTTTTGTAGATTCGTAATAGACGAAATTCACTTTATCCCGTCAACGTTTTTAGATGAGTGCGGCCTTGATGGCCTACTTGATGAACCTAAGGAAACTGAGGGAGGACTTGGTGCAAGCTCGAGCTAAGAGAGATCAAGCACTTGTCGAGAAGGTTGCACTCGAGGAGAAGAGTAAGCAAATACAAGCCAAGGAACAGGAGTTAGCCTTTGTACAGGCTAAGTATGATGAGTTGAACGAGAAGCTGAAAGCCTTCACGAATCTTCATATCTTGAGGGAAGACCTCCATAAATGGTGTGTTGATGAGTTGAACGAGAAGCTGAAAGCCTTCACGAATCTTCATATCTCGAGGGAAGACCTCTATAAATGGTGTGTCGCGTTCTGGTTTAGGATGCTTTCCACCCGATGGGGTAGCAGCAGCTATTGAGGAAGTCAACATGGCTGCTACAAAGTATGGGGGCCACAAAGTAGCTGTCGCAGGCCTCAAAACGGTTAATGGGATAGGCCTATCAAGGCCAAGTGGCTTAAGAAATTTCTAAAGGAAAGTCCAAAAAAGGACATGCACGAGGCCTTAGTAAATGTTCTCACTAAGCTTAGCATCGAGTAGCTACCTCTGTGGGAGTCTTTAGGCGGAGCTCTTGCCAAGATGGGCACTCCAGAGGAAATCACCATGTTTCCTGGTGATCTTGCAACAGTCTTGTCCAAGGACCCTAGCGAAGAGGAGCCAATCCCAGAGGTGCCAGATGAATACATGGGCATCGAGCTGGAGGTCGCTGATGAGGAGGCCTCAGAGGAAGATGTGGCTGACAATGACCACTCAGGGGTGCAAAAGAGCACTAGAGAGACATCCCAAAATAACCCCAAGAACACCTCTTCTGGTCGAGATACTGTATGAACTCTTCCCCTTTGTAATCGACTTTTGTTTCCCCTTGGTTTTTATAAGATTGTTGCGTTCTTGTTTTCCGCAATTTTAATGTTAGTGCCCATATTTTCCCTTGGAACAGGAAAGTTGGTCTGTTCACCAAATCCACCTCATGATTTTGTCTGAGGACCAATCGAGGGAGTATCCTTCGTACTCGATGATTAGCAACATCTTGAGAGGCCGGTTAGAAGTGCACAGTATTGAGACAGTAATGAACTTGGAATCAGACCTCTTCGATGCTATGCAAGTGCATAACGTGAAGGTCGGCCAGCATTTAATTGTGGAAATCAAAGGGCTTTGTGAAGAGATGCAACGGCAAGATTTCCAGAAAGATAAGGATTATAGCGAT